AGGCTGTATTAGCAACATTTTTTTCTTATCAAACGCGGAAATCCTGAATAAATCTTCTAATTCAACCTCGGATATCTTTGGTATTCGACGTTTTTTCAACCCATTCTCTCTTTCGTGTTCAGCTCAATATGCAATCGTGTGCTTCGCGCAGGGTCAAAGGAAAAACAGGACCCGCAACCTAGGGAGGGGAAAGAAGTAGCAGGTAGCAGGATTGACTCTGCAAACACAAATAGGAGATGTCTGTATCTGCATCACCTTCCCCATCTATGCTAATGCAGCATCTCATCCCCTTTTTCGTTTGCAACCCCCCCCCCCCTCCGTGACGCTGGAAATTTTGTACAACACAAGAATTGCGTCAAAGTCCCTGGGTTTTGCGCCCAGCCGTGTTACGCGGAAAACGCAGACCTATTGATCGGGATAGTATATGTAATTTGAATGTTTGCTCTGCGCCCCTCTTGTTTTTGGTCACTTGTGCCGCTTATCACAAAAGAATATCGAGGGACGACTCCTTGTTCCTGGACGGCGGATCGGGAGGGTCCCTTGCGATACACGGGAGCTGCGGGTTTGTGCGGTACAAAAGAGAGAGAGAGAGAGAGAGAGGATGCGTGTAAGATGCAGCACGGGCGCTGTGGAACGGGGGTTGTGATTATGTGCGTTGGGCTGCTTGCATGTTTTGGTACGGAACGGACTCTGGGGCTATGTGAGTTGATTTAGGGGATATGCAGGGGTTGAAAGGAAACAGTGGTTTTGGAAACTTCATAAACAGTCGGGGACGAGCGGGTGGCAAGATGTAGGTATATATCTTTTTGTTTCAAAAGAGGAAGTATGCGTACCGATTCTAGGCATAAAAGGGTGCTGTGGGAGAGGGATTTGGAATCAGGTTTGTGTACACTACAAGCAACAGTGAATTTCGAACCGAGAGCAGATCTCGGAAATCAACGGGCGGGCGGGCGGGCAGTCACGTCGAAAGGTTGTGCGCAGGCACCTGGTCGCGTTCACTTTCACTCGGCTTTGCTGTCGGCCTGAACGCAGTCTGCAGCGCGGCCCGAAAGAGGAGGCAAACTGCACTTCGGTTCGCACATGACATATTGGTGGCGCTTTCCCGTCCGGTGTGTGCATTGGGTGGAGGTGATAGATTGCAGAGCAAGCAAGCATTGGCTGCTGTGCGAGGAGTCATGTTGCGGGTGGTACGGTGACGGTGATGCGCGTTGCTGCATGTGCTGTACGAGGAGAGCCGGCGAGGTGGAAAGGGGTAGGTGCCACTGTGGATCAAGTGACTGTAGTGCATATTTCACGAATGACTCTCAAGGCTCTGTGAGTTATTGGGGATATGCTGGAGAAGGGAGAGATTGATAAATGCATAGAATGTGAAGCACATCTCTGTGCTGACAGAGATGTGCTTCATGACAAATGTTGCTACCTAACTGTACGCTATATGATGTCTTATATACTACTAATACAACTTTGAAAGGACCGACATGCTATGATACTACTCAGAAGCTGATTGTTCGTCCTCAGATTGTTCCACCTCGGCATCACTCACCAGATCACTTAGTTCAGTGCTCTCCGCGTCACTGACATTACTACTCTGTGCGTCGCTTTCATAGTCATCAACAACCTTCTTCTTGCCCTTCGCCTTTGCTTTTGGCTTTGGCTTCGATTTCTTCTCTTTGCCTGCCTTGACAGGGCTATCGACTTCACCCTTCCTCCCACCAGATCTCTGGACAAGATGATCAATCACACATCCTTTCTCCCAGCCTTCACTATTCTCACCAGTGATTGCGCGGCACCGTGGACACGTTTTGCCGTGCTTGATGAACAGATAATGCAGCGGGTACTTCAAGTCATCCGGGATTCTAACTTCGCAGTGCGCATACGTCGAATTGCGTGTCGGGCCAGCAAAGGTGCCCTTTGCGCCAGGTGCGAGACCTGCAGGGTCGCCTGGTGGGGGCACCCATCCCAGCCACTTGCATAGGCGGAAAACGTGCGTATCAACTGCGAAGGAAGGGCGTTGGAGACAGAAGAGCAGCACACAAGAGGCAGTTTTTGGACCGATGCCAGGATACTTGGTGAGTGCGTTGAAGGCATCGTCGTTGGAAAGGAGGTGTAAGTGATCGAGTGATACAACGTCTTGCTCCGCTTTCTCAACTTCATCATGCTTCTCCTCTGTAGCTTCGCTGGTAGAACCAGGTGCCTTACCAGACGAAGAAAGGAGCGCTTCACGTCGTGCTTGGTTCTCCTCCCACACCATCTGCAGAATCTTCTTGATATCTTTGCTCTTGACATCTGCCAAACCACCACTCTTGATCGCTTCAAAGATGTCTTTGGTGTCGGCTTGTCGAACCTTGTTCCAGTCTACACTGCCCTTGCCGATTCCCTCCTTCAAAATGCCAAACTTTGCTACGAGACCGGCAAATGCACGTGAAGAGTTGGTGTTGGACGTTGCTGCTGAGAGTCGCGTGCGAATCAGCGCATCTAGCACGGAAGGTACCTCTCCGCAGCCCGACACTTCAAGCGAGGGTGCGGGTATCGTCTTTGGCGCCTGAACCTTGCCGTGTACTTTTGAAAGTAGTCGAGTCACTTCTTCACACTCTTCAGTTGTTGGGTGGGGCCAATTGGGGTATGGGGTTTGGCCTGGTGTGAGGCCATACCCACTACTCTTTGCCTTTCCCTTCTTCTTTGGTGATGCGTCGGTAGTCGCTGTAGCTTTGACAACAAGATCATCAGCCTCTTCCTTCTTAATAGCGGTAGTTTTACTAGCTTTCTTTTCCCTCTTTGGTATTTTTGCTGAGGATAAGTCTTTATCTGCTTTCTCATTCGTTGGCAGCTCATTCATGGTTCCTAGGTTGTGCGGCAACTCGTCCGCTTCCTCTTCTTTCACTGCAGATTTCTTCGCTCTCTTATTGCTTTTCGGGGTGATTGTTGCTTTCTTCGATGAGCCTATATCAGGGGCATCCTCCACTTTGACGGCCTTCCTTTTCCGTGCATTGCGAGGAATTGGAGTTGCCGGAGGACTTGAGAGCTGCACTGCCTCTTGAGTGGCGACTGACGCTTCCTGATGGGCTTCTGCCTTCACAGCAGAACTCCTTGTGGCTCTTGCCATAGTGTAGAATTTGGAAAGTCGCGAGAAGCAGCAAGAGGCTCTACATGAACCCCTGAAAAGGCAATTTGCTATCAACAGCTTGGATGAGTTGTTAAGAGAGGGGTAAGGGAACAACCCCAGTGATGCTCAGACGTGTAGTGAGCCAAATGGCTTTGGTGAAGAGAAGAGTATGACACAACGAGAATGATTTGGCGACGGTCTCTGGGGTCATGACGTCGATAAGATGCTCTTGAGCTATGACCCTGACAATGTATTTATGCAGGAACCCCTTAGCGCAGTTGGCGCGCCGAGGTCCACTTTTCTGGGTTCCCGTCTCCACGCCAGAACTGCCCCGCGATCCTAATACTCACCGACCATTGTCCCCTACAATCCTATCTCAACGTTGTTCAACATGGCTGGAAAGGCTCCCTTGGTCGTCCCGGCCCTCAAGAGGCACACTGCTACCGTCATCGTTGCCCACGGCCTCGGAGATACTGGCGCTGGTTGGTATGTCGCGTTTGTCTGCCGGCATACAACACACTGATAGTTTCCAAGGATATTTTTAGCAGAAAACTGGCGTCGCCGAAGCAAGTTCGAGGAGGTTTCCTTTGTCTTTCCAAATGCTCCCAATATTCCAATCACACTGGTGCGTGAGCTCCAAATACACCCCTTGAAACCTGCACCCGCAGCCATACAGCACAGTCCCTGACATGGAGCAGAACATGGGCATGCGAATGCCAGGATGGTACGACATCAAGTCGCTCAGTAGTCTCGACGCCCGCGGCGAAGACGAGAAGGGCATCATCGCGTCCCGCGACTACTTCCATTCGCTCATAGACCAAGAAGTCGCCAAAGGCATACCCGCGAACCGGATCGTCATCGGCGGATTTTCACAGGGTGGTGCAATGTCACTCCTTTCAGGAGTCACGTACAAGAATCAGCTCGGAGGCATCTTTGGCCTGAGCTGCTACTTGCTGCTCCAAAAGAAGCTTAAAGATCTAATCCCAGCAGATAGCCCAAACCACAACACACCCATTTTCATGGGACACGGCGACGCCGACCAGGTCGTTGCACACAAGTTTGGAAAGCTAAGTGCTGATGAGCTCACTAAGCACGGATTCAAGGTCGACTTCAGGACATACGAGTATGGCGCAATCAAATTGTTCGCAAGCATTTTCTGACAATTATCAGGAACCTCGTGCACTCAGCTGACCCTGAGGAGATTGATCATCTTGAAGCCTATCTCGCCCAGCAGATTCCTCCCCTTGGCGACGCCAAACCCGACACCTCGCTATGACTCTCCCGCGAGAACCCCACCTTTCTATCGACCCGAGGAACAGCAGGCTTGGTGTTGCTCATCACATTAGTTATCGCTTGGCTTGCATGGTACAAGAAGCGCGATGATGGTTTACAACAGAGCAGTTCAGGAGCTCGGAAATGATACGGGACGCCTGAAGCTTATCAAATGAAGCTGGGCTCAATGAGGCCGAATAGATGTAACTGGGCGTGGGAGATTGCTACAGCTTCTGCTCGCGCAGAGTATTCCAGTTTCCTGTTGGATAAAGTGAAAAGTTTCAATCGGCGAGCCGACACTCGATGCGATGAGTAGCTTTCAACCTCACGAAATGCCAATTGTCTGCCTCCAGGGGTCTTTTTTCTCTATCTCTTGATCTTACCAATATTCGACTTACTCATGAAACACGATTAGATCCTGACCATGTCCATGTGAGGATCTTGTCCTAGGCAGAAAATTTTCGCAAATTTTCCTTTCCCCACACAGCGCCAATAGCCCACCCCATCGATCCTCCCGTCTCTAGAACGCCAAATCTATCAACGATAACAAGTCTCGTCGCCAGCACACCGTCTTCTTCACAATATGAATCAAACATTCTCTCCTTCTTTCATGAAATCAGTTAATTCCGATATGGTCTAGTGGCTAGGATTTGCCGCTCTCATCGAGAGTACACTCACAGTGCCGGCAAGGCCCGGGTTCGATTCCCGGTGTCGGAAAATGTTCTTTTTGCCTTTTTTTGCTTCTTTTTGTTACTTGTGGTTGGTAGTGGGGTGTTGTTTGGGCGAGTGAGCCCAATGGCGTTTTGTTTCTAGGCCTGAACTCCTAACTACTCACTGAGATAAGAGCAAAAGAGTTCAGGTTCCATTCGCAATTGTTTATTTTTATTCGTTGATCCAAACAGCGGCATTTCTACTCATTGTATCTTTACCACGTCCTGACGTTTTCACTTGTCTCAGTAAAAATAGGCATGCCACTGAAATGACTCCTAGTTGGCTCCAATTCTTTCACAGTTAACGTCTTACTCCATGTCCACCTGCTCCCACAGCTCCAATAGCAGCAACAGTTCCACGTACGGCATTTGCAGTCGTTGCTACACCGTATCCGCCCATCTGCGTCGGTCAGTCCCATGATGTGATCAATAACGATCATACTGACCGCGGCTGATTGCAACACCGCAAACGTTCCTCCAGCCTGGACTGCGCCTACAGCTGACTGTATGCACGCTGCCAGAGACCCTATAGTACCACCATTAGCAGTTATCATATCATCTGCACATTTGATACCCACCTGCGGCAACACCACTACTAGTGAACCCAGCAAGTGCTAAAAGTGGGGCTGTAACAATGCCAGGAACAAGCAGAACGATAAAGTTGACAACGTGGAAGAACGAGCGAATTGGATGCGCAGCGACATATCGAACAATGGGGGGAGCAATGCGGCGGAACACATTGACGACGGTGTCCTTGACAAAGGTGGCGGCTTTGTGGATGAAGCTGGAGACGGTGTTGCCCATGTTGATCGTGTTTATTGTGTATTAATAGATTCTTCATTCAACAAGCAGGACAGCTTTAGGAGCTTAGCGGTTTGCAAATAGCTAGCAATGTTGCAAGTCATATTTTATACCATCAGGCTTGTTGTGGGGGCACAGGATAGCCTCGGAGCCAAGGCAGCCGTTGTACAACAGTTACACAAAAGCATTCTGGTCAAATCCACACCCCCTAGGCCTCTATCCAAATATTTCTTCCCGCCTATCTTCACCTACTGCTTGAAGTGCATGATGCATGTTCCAGCCACGCGAACCCCAAAGCAAGCTCTATCTGTTCAGTGTGTCCTACATTCTATATACACATACTTTGTGTTCCAAGTATCTTGTTGCGGATCATATCAACCATGCTTGCTGTTGCTTGATCCATGGATTTTTGAGTATCAGCAATAAGCAGGTAGAAGCTAGTGTAGGCAGGAAAAACGCTTATGTTCGTGTCTAGAGGCATCCATAACATTTCTCACCTGCCAACAAGCGGTAGGTGCCTTTTCAACGCACAGTACAACACTGCATTCATCAGGCAAGGAGAGACCAAGGAAACCTTTCACCCATTTAGCTACTCTACTCTGCTTCTTCTTCTCAAACAATTCCACTCCAACCCTCCTCTATGGTTGTTATCACGATAAGTTCAAATCCTTGTGTCCACTCTCCTCCCGATGAGCTGTTAATATCTGGACTCAAAAAAACATGAACGTAATCAGTGCATCGTTTCAGATGAGAAGCTCTGCGGGTAAGTGGTGAATGGCACGAGCCTCTTTGTGTATTCAATCGCTCATAATCTCTGTTCCCATCATGTATCTAACCCTTGTGTTTCCCTTCTATTTGACGCGAAAAATCATCCCACCTATAACAATTATACTTCAACTCTTTTCAGTCGTATAGAGTCTTTGAATCTAGTTGCACTTTCCCCATTTCGACTGGCACCAATTGGCGGCGCCGCAAAAGTCCTGTCCACTTCCACAGAAGTTGCTTCCCGAGCAGCATAGCCCACTCTTGCACTTCTTGTTGACAATTGGACCGCAAGTCTCTCCTTCACCGGACTCGCCCTTCGCTGCCGTAGGCTCTGCTGGCGCGCTCATACTGTCACACTTTCCAAAACCGGCCTGGCACCCGTCACCACAGTAGATAGCTTGATCCTGGATGTCGTTCTTAGGGCCGCAGTGACCGGCAGAGGAGCAGCAACGGTAGAAATAGCCATTTGCACCAGCTCCAGGGCATGTTACGCCGCCTTGAGCATGACCGCAGACGTCGATTACAGGAACCGTGTTGGGGAAGGTGGTGGCGGGTGTGGTGGGTTGAGTGCTCCCCGTGGGTTTGCAGCTAGACGCTGAACCAGAGAAGGGTTTCAAGCAAGTCGCGGCATCGCAATGGTCGACGGTGGTTCCGCACTGTAAAGGAACTGTCAGTCTGGTTGAACCTGATATTGCTGGAGACATTGATGTTTCATCGAGATAGAGGGCTGACATACCCAACCGTACTGGCTGCCTAAGAGAAACGTCAGCTCGACTGCGATAAATTGAAAATATAAAAGAACTTACAGCATTCGTTCTGGGCGCAAACCGCATTTCCGTTCTGAGGGCCGCAGTTACCAGCGATTGCTCCCGACACCAACGACAGGATAGCGAATGTAGAGACACGCATTATGATTAAATTTCTTCTTAGAAGCGAGAGGCAGGCGACAAGAAATGAATGAATGGCGCGAAGAAGCGACAAAAGAATAAATATGTTTGAAAATGAGATTGCTTGGGACTGTAGCTCCCTCGAGAGGAGCTGATGGAGCTCTTTAATACCACGATAATAATAGCTGCCCCGTAAAGCCATTACCACGGTCACGCTGCAGCATCCAATCACGGCTTCATGCAGTCAGGCTCGCAGGGTTCCACTTAGGGCTGAAATTTAGACTGGCGCTACCTTTGCCGTTGCTGTCAGGTGCTTGTCGAGGAGAAGCTCGTTCCTGAATACAGGGATGTTGACTTTTTTGAACGAGTGTCATTTGTTCGGAATGTCGTGTTTCGGCATTACTACGCGGAACATCGGCATCCTTTACGGTGCAATGACGGCCTGCCGAGGGCGCAGTAAAGTATGGATGTGTCAATGTTTCCGTGTGGTCCGGAAGAGAAAATATCTCATCTTCGTGCAGTGTGGCAATATGCGTATTATTAGGATCCAAAATCTGCGAATGGGAAGCCTAAGCGCCTGGTTCACGCCCATTAAAGTTCAGACATGGCTCCTACGTACGTGCAATGAGGATAGAGGGCCACAAAATACAGAAGAAGGTCGGAAATAAGCATGTGCCAAGCAACAATTAGTGGGGCCAATCATAGCTTACCCCTGCCATCTTCTCCTGAACTACGGTGCAAAGCTTTGAGGCGTTAGCTTGATGAACAAAGTGAAACAAGGGTGGAGGACATTGATTCGTCATGCCTTCGTGAAATGAATTCGGCCTATCTGAGCGTCCATGGTCCCTGAAGCACCTGAAGCAGGAGGAAACCTCAGTCGAGTGTACCCTAGTAAGCGATGATCCATGCCTGTGTTCCCACAGCTGATGGCTGTCAATTCATGCAATTACGAGGCGAGTCTGAATGATCCATGCCTGCGTTAGTACTGCTGACGGCTGTCGCCTGAGGCTACACATTTTGATTCTCAGTCACTTTTGACTAACTGACGGAGGGTTGCATCGCAACGACAGGAACCAACGGCGTGGTCACAAACAAGGACCACCACTTACACTCGATGAAAGTTTCTATCGTCGTGCAGAGGACGGTTATTCTCTGCTACCTACAGAGGCCATAGGCGCTACTCTTAGTTTCCAACCTGGATCGCATATCCGCCATCTACCGTGACGGTCTGACCGTTGAGATACTGACAGCTGACAACGAATAGGATTGCTGCCGCCATGTCCTGATCTTTGCCCGGCCGTTGCGCTGGCAAACCTTCCTTGTGCTCTTTCGGCATCTCACTCTTCTGGTTATCGTCTCTGCTGTCGTTCGTAGTCATCTCGCTAGGGAAAACACCCGGGGCAATGCTGTTGACCCTGACCTTGATGCCATTCTTTGCGATCTCAGCGGCTAGCATCTTGTTCAAATGGATGGTTGCACCCTTGCTGGTGTTGTATGAGAAATGGCCTTGCGAGATCCTGATATGGCCCGATATACTGCTGATATTGACGATTGTTCCCGAATATCCTTTGTGTGTCTCGGTGGATTTTTGTAGAAGCGGTAGGAAGGAAGTGCTTATTAGAAAGGGGCCAACGACGTTCGTCTGGTAAACATCGAGCCACTCCTTCTCGTCGGTAGGTCCAAAGAGATTTTCTTTCTCTTCTTCTGCACTATTTGCTTTGGTCTCCGTCTTGCCCGGGGCGATACCAGCATTGTTTACAAGAATGCACAAACACTTCTCACGAGACTCGATCTCCTTCACGAGCTTTCTGTTACTCTCTTAGCGATCAACCTTGATCTAACCATCCTTTCACTTACTGCACACCGTTCTTCGTTGATATATCTCCCACAATAGGGATGATCTGGCCAGCAATATCCTTTCCATGTACTTGGGCAACTTTCTCAAGTTTCTCTTCTGTCCGCCCAACGATATAGCTGATGACGAATAGATGTCAATATTATCGCATATATCGTATAACCCACTTCACCTACACTTTTGCTCCATTGACAGCGAGAGTTTGTGTGATCATCAGCCCAATACCGGAACCTCCGCCTGTAACTAGAGCCACTTTATCCTTGACATCAAACACTGTGCTGAGTTGTAGCTCTGAGTTGCTGGACGACATGTTGCTGTATGGCCTTTTGGATTTATTCTTGATAGATTTCAGGCCTTCTTGTGATTGTTTATGAATCGCTGGTATTGTAGATGAGAAGTCTGACTGCAGTGCAAAAGTCGACTTATAACGAAGTGCTGCTGAGAAGGCGCTGACGTCAGGTTGCAAGCATTGCCGTACACAGCGCGTCAAGGTGGCGTTCGAGGGTCTGAAAGACATCACTATCTCCTGAACACCGAACAAAAAATATAAAATATGAGGTGAATTTATAAAATGCGCTGAAGCCGATAGATCAGGCGAGATGGGAACGACACACGCACTTTATTGAAGACGCGTTGTTATTACATCATACCGCCAAAGGATGTGCACTCCCATCGTGTTGATCAAAATTGAGAACAGGA